AGATAATGAATCATAATGATAATGAGTCGACCAATCGAAATTGATCATTAAGAATATATCGCTAAGTAAGAATAGAGTTTTCTCAGTGATGAAACTCATTATGTCGACATTAAATGCATTTAATATTTCTCTGAATTGAAGACTTTTCGTTAGAGATATGAATTAATACTTCGCATCGCATTCGTATTCGAGTGAAACTTGAATACCATCTAGTTTTTTTTTGTTTCTTTCTAACTTGAGTACGCATAAAAGTTCTGATAAAGTGACACGATGATCTAAAGAACCGTTAATGATAGAAGATCCATTCCAACTAGATATGAAAGTATCGAGATCGAAGTTGTTACATCTTTTTGCCAATTCACAATACTAAGTCTCGTTCGCCTAAAAATTTGATCCGAAAATGATGATTTTGAAAGGTTTTATTGTTTGATAGTTTCGAGATAATTAAAGTGACGTCATTAAGCAATCTTAGCGAATAGCCTACTGCTTAGTATCTGATCTAAGATAGTGAATCATTGAAATAATTTAATGTTCAATCAAAGATATTCTCTAGGATTATGGTGATAATCACGAAAAAAAAACGTTTTCTCAGCAATGAATTTTATTATGATTACTTGAGAACTAAAAAAAATGTAACGATTTTTGTTTTTTATTACAACTGCTGAAGACAGGAAAAGGTGTATATTTCAAGCGAATATGAAACTAATCAGGCCATAACGGTGTCTAATTAATTTTAAGATTGCTTGTTCCATTTCCGTTAAATTTTTAATTTATTCCTGTACTCGACTCGTGCTTCCCACCGCATTTCGTATACAAGTGAAACTCGAATACCATCTAGTTTGTTTTAGTCTGCAATGCTGGTTATTTTATTTAATTTCTATATATATTTTTATTTGTTTATGTTGTGTTTTATTTTTATTTCCATCATCAAGTATAAGTGCTTCATGATGACGAGAAAGTCAAATTCGATTTTCTAGTTTTTAGAATATATTCCAATTGCTATATCGGATCCGAAATTCTAGGAATGCCTATATGAATTCACTCTTGATTTTCCAATTAGAAAATCGAAGTTCATATTTTTTATGTTTTGAATATCGTATTTGCCAGAATTTAGGAATTCATCGGCGAATTCATACCCAGGTCAAGCAATCCGACAGTAGGCGCCTATCTGAACCCATCCGATCCGACTGGAATCCAATAGGATTTTATCGGATACATTCAGATCTTACAGAATTATCGTTGGATTCCGGGTCGAGGAATCGATGTCGGGTCCTCAGTGTCGGATTCCTATGAATTCCAAGGAAAACCGTTGTATGTCATCGGAAGTTCATAGGATTCCGACACTGAGGATCCGACATCGATTCCTCGACCCGGAATCCAATAAAATTGTATCGGATTGTAGAATATTTCCAGGTTCCTATCGGATCAGTCGACCTGGGAAGTGACGGCTATTTTGCTTATTTCTAATTTTGTTGCATATGGCAGAATAAAATGCAAAAGAAAATTGGTGATAACAGAAACGGAAAAACGTTGAAAAATTGACCGGTGCTCACATATGCATTTACGTCGCACACTAATGATATGCAAATCTCTTCATCGATATGATTCATGCATTTATTGCTGCTGCACAATCATCCGGAAGTTTAAATAGTTCTACAACTTTATAACGGTAAGTTACATTTGCGTTGGAAATTGAATACATATTGAACTATAATAGTAAGAGAATAACCTGAGAATTTCATAAGTTAGATAATTAAATAATCGACATAAAATGTGTATACTCCTGTAGAATTCGTAGCAACGAATATTGAAATGAGTACAGTTCTTATTTTTATATTTTATTATAGCAAAGGTTTTGGTATTAAAAATGAAACTGTTTAAAAAAAAGTTAAAATATTCGAATAAATTTTGTAATTCTAATATAAAAAAAAACTATTTGTCCTTGCAATACCAACCTGTAACGAATTTTGTTTGATGATAAATGGATAATTTATATTCGTTACTGCTGCAGCTTTTATTTTTTTTATTTGTGATCACAAAGAGAAACTGGAAGAGTAGCGTTACCGCTATCCTCGGTGTATAATATGTTAGTTACACTACTCCATTCTGTTCTGTTCCAGCTCTATTCCAGTTCTAATTGCATTCAAGTTCTTTTCCAGTTCTGATGTATAATACAATGTACTTGCTTTGTATACGTGCACACGAGAGAGAAGAATAGAAAAAGATATAATCGGCATATGCGCATTACGTAGGTTATATCTAAAGATGTAATCACGTTACATAAAAGTAGATGGATAACATTAAGAAGTATAACAGATAGACTGATGAGAGTAACGAGTTATAGAAAGCCTATGGCATATTGCATAACACTCATCATAATGTATTCCTCCTTCCTAATACCGGATCAGAGGATATTCCAAAGAAATGGAAACGCAAATATGTGAACAATAAAGGATGTCCATGCATTATTGGCACACCCTCCCACTCAGCTAAGACGCACTCCTGGGCGTCAAAAGTTACAACACTGACTGTGCTCATACAGGCAGAGAAAACGAACAAATTACAAAAAAATGTAGGGAAATAGAAATTGAAAGTTACAAATAAAAATCTACTGTAGAATTCCTATGTAATATTGGCCCACCATGACATTCATCTATATCAAAAAAATTTAAGTCTTTCACCTTAATGTTGATCTAATTTCGATCATTATCGCTCATAGTTGAGCCGAATGAATGGTACCGGGGTCGCTCTCACAGTGGCATACTTGTACGATGCTTCAACTTGTCATCATGATGCTTGTCAACGTTTACCCTTCGGAGGGTATCATCGTCTACTTCAACGAGTAGCGTCACCAGCATATTCATTTGGTTTCTTCTTTTACAATATTTTAATGCATCCAATTAAATAATGTTATCATTTTAATAATTAGACATCGAGTTTAATAACAATATATAACCTTTCGTGCGCGCCGTAAATTTAAGGTTCTTAATCTTTCTAATTTTGTTTGTTTTGATAAAATGTTATTTTTCTCATTCAATCGCGTATAACTTGATTCATAACACTAATAATAATTTGTATATAGATATAAATAAATTTTGTCTCTCCCCACGAGTTATTATTGTTTACGATCAATAGACAATTACTCTCATTAACAAAAATTTGTAAATTCTTTGCGATGTACTTGATGGAATATGATTGAGCTCATGAGTGATGAAGAAAGTTGAGAGGAAAAGACATGAAACGTACCGATGTTATTCAGGAAAGTACGGAAGTGATACGCACGTTTCGACCCTCAGACTAGCCGTCCTTTTAGTACGTCCACCGATGTTCTGTGACATTGCTCGGAATACAATGCCATGCCTCTTATCTCACATCTCCATTACTACTCATCACCTTCATCGATATTCCTTCTAATATATCATCATAAAATATTGTGATTAATTGTATTGTTTCATAATAAAACCGTATTGAAAAGTATTATTGTAGTTGAATGTAATCTATATTCCTTTTTTTTTTACATCGATCATTATTGTGTCAATTGATGTACAATTTAACGGATATAACTTGAATTGATTTGATGACTCCCCATGTGAAAATCTATGGCATGAAAACGCGTTTTCAAACGCATTTAGGATGCGTTTGAAATACTGTGAGAAAACGCATCCAAATGCATCTAAAATGAAACATCTGACGCGTCTAAACGCGTCTGCAGATGCATCTGGACGCGTTTATGAAACGCGTTTAGACGCGTTATATATTGTTTTGCACAATTAGATGCATCCTAATGAATTCAGACCACCGACGCGTTCAGACGCGTTTTACAATGCTATGAAACATGTGCCGCGTTCGAACGCTTTCAAATACTAGATGCGTGTGGATGCATCTGAAACCACTTGATGCGCTCATGCGCGTTTGAAAAATAAACGCAGCTGGATGCGTCTGAAAGTTAAACGCGTTTAAACGCGTTTGAAGAAATATTTGGGAAAAAACAACAACTTGTTCTCACAGATTTGCGCTGTGGCACCATCAGAACTCCACGATGGTCAGCTCTATCCTAGAGGCGTATTACAGAACAAGTGATATAACTTACGCAAAATTTGACATGTGCGGTGATCAAGGCTAGAACAGAAGAACTTCTTATCGACGAACAAGTTACTTACGATTGAGCTATATAGCTCGACAGAGTGTCTTATTTAAATACATGCATTTGTAACTCTTGCTAATAATAAAATTTATTTAAAGATGAAATGTATTCGATAATCATAAAGAAGTTATCTTATGATAGTAATTTATTACAAGATATAGCCCTTTGTAAAGTAATATGTAGAATTAATATCAAATATAATATCTGTTTCTGCATCGAATTAATTTAAATTGTTTTCACCTAATTCGTTTTTTACCGATTGATTACAACTCAATGTAAGTACACAAACTAGCTAGTTTTTTTTATTGCAACTACAATGAATAATGTATGATCATGTCTCCGTGAGAAATAAAATCTAATTTCGAAACAACAAACCATCTTCAAGACTGTGAAATTTGAAAATGATATTAAGAACATCAATAGATCGTAATTAATAATTGTCAATTTTCTATACAAGATTTAATATTAAGCATCAATACGTAGAATGAATAAAAACAATCATGCCCATCGTTCATTCCTAATATTTTCATGCAAATACTTTTGATTTTTGAAACAATACGGTCTGTACAACGATTTAATTCCTATTATTTTATCTAGAATGTTCGTTCATATATTTTGAAACAATAAGAGATAATTTCATGGCAACGTTTTCTGAGCCTATCACGTGGATCAATTGGCTACTTGTTCATTTAAAATGTCGACATGCTTTGTTACACCAGTCACGAGACGTGATAACGGTTCAGTCGAGACGAACACACACTGAATAATCTATTTATTTGCTTTTGTGATTGTTTTACATCCACATGAATGTATATGGATAAATTTCGATGCGAAATTAACTGAGTCTTTTTAGATCATGCAACGGTACGAATCAAAAGGAAGTATCATATCAGTGACCTCATCGTCTCGAGGTGGTGAAAAAAAAATTCCACCAACACATATGATTGTTCAACGTGACAATGATAATCAATTGGTTTTATTGCCGTTAACTCATCTGGTTAATTGTTCAGTAACACGCATTAAAGTGAATAGTACTGTAACATTCAAGAGTGATCTTACCAACAGAAAACAAGAACGAGGAATAGTGATAATACTAGGTGAGGATTCTATACATTCGAACATTTTTACATTGTTCTTGTTTTCTAGGAAGCAAAGAAGTATGTATGGAACAGTTGCAGGTATTTGAAATGGTAGCTGATATTGGCTCACAAAATATTATTGATAATGACAATGGTAAAGTAAATAAAAATCAAGAACATGAAAAAAACAAGAAAAGTAATAGTAAGTGTAAAAACCATAATGCCAATGAAGCCATGCAGCATTTTAGAATAATCAACACATATATAATAATGTAAAATAATTTCTTTTTCTCCGTTACTAGGATAAGAAAATGTTCGTAAAAATGTCCCAGTATAAAATACTAAAGCTTTTAGCTCTATTTAAAAAAATTAATATTTTCAGATGTCAAAATTTTTAATTAGCAATTTAATATAACTCATTTATTGTAATAGTCGACATTGTTGTTGGCAGATGCTGGTCAAAAACAATCGAATTATAAGCTCTCTACTGTAAACTGATAAAACTAGCATGAACCGAGAAAAAGTCGTTTCTAAAACAGAACTATATCCTACAACGAAATTAGTGATTCATTAACTACCTCAAAATAAATAATTTACTATATTTTTTTCGGTTTTCAAAATTATGTGGACTTTGCATGGTTTATTTTAAGGTTTTGAATGAAATCTCTTTTTGGTATTTAGAAAAACAATTTGCAACTTCATTTGATGGATACAAACACGTCAGTAGTGGTTTAGTTGCAAAGCCTTCAACTAGTTCGATCAAGCAAATAACAAATATTGTAAAAAAAAGCATAACATCAAGTCAAAGCATTTATCACTCGACGACGACAGTAAGAAATTTTTTATATTAAATAAAGAAATTGATTGATCAAACTTGTTTAATAGTGAACGGCCTAAGTAGTAATGAAGACGAAGAGGTCTGTGTTTCATCCAATGATTCATCAACCAATAACATACTATCAAATGAATTAGTTAGCAATTCGGCAACAGTCGTGCCTAAAACAAAAATAACAAATTCATCTACAAATGGTAACTATATCTAAATTTTGATATAATAACATTTTTACCTATTCTCATAGATGTGCACATTGATTATCAAGATGAACCTACAAGATCTACAAAAAGTAAAATAATTATAAGTTCTCAATCTCGAAATAACAAGAATAGTTCCGAAAGCAACACAACAACTCTCGATTCCTCGAAATTCGGTTAGCATAAGTTCATAGTACATGATGTTAACTTACATCGCTTGTTTGCTTTATAGAACAAGAAGAACAAGTACAAGATATGAACGATGCCGACATAGTTTGTCGATACGAGTTCTTATCCAAAAAATGTAATAAGTTATCAAAAGAAAATGCTGAATTACAACTTGAATGTGATCGTTTGACAACAGAAAATCAAGTTTTGAAACGAACAACAATGCGTGAGTATATTAATTATGTTGTCTCTAAAATTATTTTTGAAAGTTTAGCATTTTAAAGTTTTAAATAATACTCAATCATTTTTTTTATAAATTCTTCCGATTGAAGAGCAATAAATGATGTCCTAATTAATATTTTTAATCTATTTCCTGTAAGATACGAACAAAACATAGCCAATAATAATCAAAAATTAGCCATAAACATTACATTACATACGCAGCATAGTAGAATAAATTACAGAAGAATTTTCGAAAGACATCGAGAAGAGATTTATTTTATTAAGTTACTTTCATGTACCATGTACATTAATCCTATATTTAGAAAAAGAAGCTTCTATCAAATATGTACTGGTGAAGTGCACGTTAGGTGAACTAAAAGGGGAATATCTTAAAACTATTAACAATGTATACAATATTTTATTGATAAAATCAACAACAAGAAAATCTTTTTTTTAGCAATACCAGATGCTGCTGGTCGTCAATGGATTATTAATATGGGACAATTCTTCTCGAGAAAGGTACCTGGTTCAAACATTGCGAAATATGCAACTGCATTGGGTATAGATGATCCACGAGATCTAATTGCCTGCATAGAAGATACGACATCTAATACAACTCGTCAAGTCATTCGATTGTTATACTCATCCGACAAGTTATTAACTATGAGTGGGACCGAAGTACCTCAATCACGACGATCAGCCATTAGAGGTAATCAGGTCCTTATTTAATGAGAACAAATGAATATAACAATTTTTTATTCGAGTAGCATTTGCTGAATCTCAAAAAGGTCCGATTTCAAAGCATAAATTTAACGAAGCTATTAATGGTGTCTTTCGATCGAAAAAAAATGAGTTCAAGAATCAACAATCTGGAAATTCCAATAAATCAAATAAAAAAAGTGTTTGTCTGAATACAGGAGAAAAAACTTCGAAACAAGTTTTAAATAAAAATCAACAACTGCAATCAGGTGATCCAACTTCCGACAAAGAAAATACGAACGTTCGAAATAATCACGAAGATAATTAATGACAATTGAATTTTCTGATGTTCTATCTCTTAGCTGCGTCTGTAGTACTCGAACATCTATAAATAATAAAAAATTATATTTAGATTAGCGTTACTGATTATCTTTAAAAGATAATGTTTTAGATGTTTTCAAGAGCTACCTTATGGCGTCGTAAAAAGCGACTTAAAGAAATTCTTAGTCAGAGATTAGCAAATACTGTGTCAACATTTGATGAAAAGTATATGTTGGTTTTACTAATTCATTTTAAAATCATGCTTTTTGTGATTAAGCTTTCTTGGCTCAACATCACCAGACTTCTTTCACGATACTAACCTAGAAACTTCATCAGATGAAGCAAACTCGTTTAATCATATCGAAAGTCAATCTCATTTTTCTATGTCTAGCTATCACTACAATATGCCAAAAATTGACGATGAATTAGATGATGGATCGGATTTCTACGATGAAAAAATGTGGCTTGAAGAAAACGTGACCGATACTGATCTGTGGAAAAATGTAGAATTCGAACCAGCATATCCTGTTTTAGAGAATGAATTTTTATTCAACGAAATTAGTCAGTTAGTCTAGATAAAATATTGATTTTTTTCTTCATCCTATTACCAGACTTTTTTTTTATACAAATAGGAAACCGGCGGAAAAAGATATTGCTGCAGCTCTCGTTTTATTGAAGGTAAAGTGAATTGTCAGAAAAAAAGTCAAGTGAGATTTGTATTAGTCATAACTAAAACAGCATGATAATCTATCAAAGTCGCTAACAGTAGAGGAAAAGGAAAATGAAAATTCAGTATCACTTTCAATGATACGCATGATTTTTTTCTAAAAACTTCAAACCAAAAGCCAAATTATTTTCAAAAGAGATAGAGGATATAATCGTTACATTATTAGATTGTTTCAATAATGAGATCAAATGTTGTTTTGGTCATATTTCCCTGCAAAAAATATACCGTTATCAATATGCGAATAAATCAAGATAAAACTATTTTGTTAACCACTGAACCAAAGAATGTGTTATTTATATTTAATAACATGCTTAGCTTTAAAGCTGTTTTAATTTTGCTAGTTATAACTCCATATAAAAACAACAATTAGTAATGCTCCGGTTTGAGTTTTAAATTCAATAGATTTATATGACTAGTTATGAGTTATACTTTTTGACTCATGAAAAATGTAGCTAGCTTGACTAGCCTAAAAAATAAGATAATTTGATTTAGTTTTCTTGAACTTTCATGTGATTATCACTAGAATCAATTTGTTGTACTATGTATCGTATGATAATAGTCATTTTCGTTTATATAATAGCTCCGTCATCGAATTTCAAACAAGGGAATCAATGATTTATGCAAATTATTGAAAATTATGAAAACACCAAACACTCCGGCCAATTTTTCTCGTGTGAAACGACTTTTTCTACCAAATTCTTCTCCAACACCTTCTTCATTAATCACTTATATATGTTCAATTTGCTGCGAAATTTCAACATCATCACATAATTGCAACAATGTAAATTGCAATCAACATTCATGTTTTCATACAGCTCCACTGAATTATTTACGATTACCAATACTTCCACAATTAAGAGAAATTCTCGCTCATGCAAAAGAATTAAATTTTCAACAACAGCGAGAATTCTCTCCGGATATTGAAATGATGAATGATATATATGATGGAGAAAAATATCAGAATATAATTAAAAATGAAAAAGGACAAAAGTTTTTAACTCTTATAATGAATACAGATGGTATTCAATTAGCTAAAAATTCTAATTCATCTCTTTGGATTTTCACTTTTGTAATCAATGAAATTAAAAGAAGCGAACGTTTTAAATTAAAAAATATAATAGTAGGTGCCATTGTATCAAGCGCATCAAAATCTAGTCGTCATCAGATGCGGACGATTCTTTCACCAATAGTTGAAGAGTTGCTTGTATTGGAACAAGGTGAAGCTTTTGAAGTGAAAAGTTTGGGTGATAACTCATTCATACATCTCAAGACTTTTCTGATTGCATCGTGCTGCGACAAGCCAGCACAAAGCTTAGTACAAGGCATCAGTGAACCAACAGGAGCTTTTGGCTGTGGAAGATGCGAATTGAAAGGCAAATATTTTTCACCATCTTTCACAATAATATTTTAATAATAAATATTATTGTTTTTCTAGGTATAACGGTAGTCATCAAACCGAAATCAAAGAAAAAAATTCGAGTTTTTCCTCTTGTTTCTGCTCACCAACAACAACCTCGTTTACGTACAAATGAAACTTACGATATATTTATGAATACTTACGAGAAAGAACGTTTCACAAACAATAATGAACTTCGCGATCGATTACGTGGTCATATAGGCCCTTGTGCTCTTCGCAGTCTTACTTATTTCGACGTTGGAACCAGTTTTTTATCTGATTCGTTGCATAACATATATCATGGTGTAATGGTAAGCAGTTCTTCAAAAATATTTTTATGATATAAACAAAAAAAGCTGATCATTTTTCTTTCAGAAGAATCCACTAAAAATTAATATAATCTGAAATATATTTTGTTTTCTGTGTGTTTTACCGGTAGAATCAACAAAAACTAAAATAATAAATTTGAGTTATTTGTGAAGATAAAATATCCCATTAGTAAATGAGTTTATATGCTTCTTCTGATGAAAAATTATTTTATAAAATAAATAGTAATTAATTCAGAGCAAATGATTAAACTTTCTTTCCAAAATGAGACCATGTCACAATGTTTAGAGACAATGTTTTTCAATCATGATCATATAAACAATCGATTTGGTGATTTTTCTTTACTAGATTATAAACATATGCTACATTCTCTCAATGTAACTTTCAAAATATTACATCATACTGTAACAAAATTCATTTGATACAAATAGTATGAATGCTTGATAAAAGAATATTTTATAAATGAACATGTGTATATACGTATCTCAAATTTCATCTAAATTATGTTTATGTACATAAATCAGTTTCAGGTGACTTCTCTTCATGTATCGTTTAGATTTCAATATCATTCGTCACAAAAGTTACTTGATGACTCGACTAAATAATAAAATATTTTTGTTCTTACCATTGTATTAATTTTCTATTCAGATCAGAAAATTGCTTTTAATAATACGATTTCTCTGTTATGACTAGCTACAAACTATTTAGAAATGATCATCTTCATGAAGTATTCTTTATTGTATTTATGGAACTTTTCTCTTATTGTTTTGAAATATTGCTAACAAAAATTAATGAAGGCTTGTCTCGAATATATCTTGCATCTGTGAGCTAATATCTTCCAAACGATATCTAAAATTGAAAAATATTAAAAAATTCGATAAATTTCACTTGTTTCTTTGCTTTTTGTCTACTGAAACAGAAGAAAAACTAAGTTTCTATTCTATTTTTATCAATCGCAGAGTAGAAGTGTCGTGCTGAAAACATATATATATTTTTTATTTTACTATTTAGAAACGACTGCTTCATCTTTGGTTTGACAAAAAACATCAGAAGCAAGCTTGGAGTATTCGTTCAAAGTTAAAAATAGTTGATCATTATCTTTCTTCAATAAAATATCCATCAACATCAACGCGTATACCTCGATGTATAGCAAAATATGAAAAATACAAAGCTAATGAAGCTCGAAGCATTTTATTATTTGGCTTTTCTGCTTTTTGTATTGTTTTACCACTCAAATATGCAAGACATTTTCTTATGCTTGTCGTGGGAGTACATATAGCTGAATCTCGTACTATTCGTCGCACTCAAATAGAGGATATTCGTCTGATACTCAATCGTTTTTTACAGCAATTTCCAATTCTTTATTCACCCAGAAATAATTCTCAATCTGTACATAGTATACATCATGTAGCTGCATCTGTTTTAGAATATGGCTCATTAAGCAATTATTCCACCTTTAACTTTGAAAATATTCTAGGTACAGCTGATCATTAAATTATCCACTATTTTATTTTATATCTTACGATATAATTTTTTTTATTTACTCAGGTTTAATTACTTCCACCGTTCATTCTACTCGTCGACATGCGTGCGAAATTCACAACAACTTGAAACTACTTCGCTTGGCTTTAATTGAATTTGATCGTCCTTCATTTAACAACAATTTAAAACATTTTATTAACAGCTGCCAGTCGACTAAACGTCCTGTTGTATCATTCTTAATGAATGAAAATCAAATGGTTCATTTTCGACAGGAAGACGTTAACAAAGCCACGCTCAGCGAACTTCAACATCTACTTCGTCAACAGGATATTAAATTGTTTAAAATTTGCTATATTTTTACAAATCGTTTCACTATCATCCGATATCGCTCTTCAGGTCAAAAGGATGATAGTTGTTTATTGTTCTTACTTGGTGGTCAACCATGTATTGGATTTATACAGAATATCATTCAAGTTCGTCGTGTTGAATTACTTTTACGTATTTGCAAAGTAAGCGTAAAAGATCAATTGTGTCTTAATTTTAACAACACAAAATTATCTTGCCCGAACATCTTCTATGGAGATATCGATATGCACAATAGCAACGTTTTCATAAAAGCTGAGGCCATCATCGAAAAGATTATATATGTGTACAATAAACAGTTGAAATGTTATGTATTTTCACGTATACCTAATCTTTGTGAATCCTCATGAATACACTTTATCTATTTGATTTATCTAATAAAATACAAAACATAATCAACCATCAGTTTCCACAAATTGAATATCTCCCGGTGTCATTCATTGTAAAAATAATGCTCATAATAATTTTTCTGCTAAGAAACATTATATTGCCATCGTTGTTTTTTATTTCAATGATTTTCATGCTATATTTTTATATTCTTAATAATTAACATTCGTTTTATTTGCATTACATTCTTCGATTTGTTTCTTAGCTTAAACATTTACGGATATAATTCATCGATAGCGATTGTTCCTGATCTTATTTATATGAAAACTAGGATAAAACAATCGAAATTCTTCAATATCTCTACAATAGTGATAGAAAAATAAATGTATTTTTGGAGCAGAGAGTTGGCCAACTGTAGATCCAGAAAATTTAGCTATGTCAATGAGATCGACAATTGATTTAGACAGCTCTTCTAATTAGAAACTTTGATAAAATGAAACATAATTTTTTACTTTCAAAAATATTGTTTCCCAGAAAAATTGAGAAAACAATACTATCAATTTAATTCAAGCGAATTTTTACCACATATGATAATTTAAGTTTTGATTTGAGAATAGATCCATCAGTTGATTTAATGAAATTACGATCTTTAAAGAGAATTTCTGTCTTTTAGAGAGTAAAGTGAAAAGCCTACATTCCTGAATATTAAATGCATCTGGACGAAATCATTGGTCAAACCGCGTTCAACTGCGTTTTTAATTGAAAAAGTTTGAAATACTTTACTGATTGAGATGCACCTGGACGAAGTCATTGGTCAAAACGCATTTAACTGCATTTTTAACTGAAAAAGTTTCAAACGCGTTACTGTTTGAGATGCGTCTGAAAGAAATCATTTGTCAAAACGCGTCTAGATGCGTTTTTAACCAAAAAAGACTCATACGCGTTATTAATTTAGATGCATCTGGACGCGGTCACTAATTTAAACGCATCGAGACGCATCCATGGAACGCATTTGGACGCGTTTCAACACTGACTTTGAACAAAAACGCATCTCAACGCGTCTATAAACGCGTTCACATGCATCTGGTCTGCGTTTCTGTTTCACATGGGTATTGTGCGGCACTGTTTATTTTGAGCGTCAAATATAAAACACGCTTGGGTCCACAGATTTGCATGACAGAATTTATGTTTTAAGGTGTAAAACGCCAAATTTTTCCAGTCACAAAGGAAATAGATACTGAACATAACATTGTGGATAATCAGTACTGCGTAATCATCACAGTCTCGCGAGCTGCAGACACTGTATCCCTTCAACTTTCCCTTGGCTAGTAAGACATGGCAAATATCCGTAGCCACGTTGCTGGTTAACTTTTCGGTATGTTTTGAACACATTACATGAAACGGGTTAACCAAATTTCCAGGAGAGCCACGACGCGCTTTTGAAAACCGAAAATAAACTTTTCAGAACGGCAACTAAATCTTACACCCTCAAACCAAAACAGCAGCAACAAAGACTTCGCGAGACAGTATAACTTCCCAGAGACATTTACAGCCGGTAGCTAACACAAACCAGGCCTCTCTATCAATGTGTCAAAATGACAGCCCATCGCACGGACTATCCATGTCACTGCCACAAAAAACCGGAATAATATGGAAAACCATCCAAACATGCACCGCTCAATTCTCCCAACCACGAAAGAACTATAACATCATGCCTCTTAGTGTGGGTGCCACGAAAGAACTTTAACATCACGACTCTTAGTGTGGGTGCCACAAAAGGTCTCCAATCTTATCATGATAATGACGCGTATTATCCGCTTTATTCGGGTTTGGGATCAATTCTGAATTCTGAGTTAAATGTTTTTCAGGGCTGACACTGGGTTATTTTAACCTCGGAGAAACGGTATATTCCTTAGAGAAGAATGCCGAGATGCTACGTCACATAGGTAGGTGTTGCGCGTGTTTCGAAGAGAGTCCCTTTGATAGAAGTCGTATTGATATATTTGTATTCTGCATTATTATGAACGTTTCCTTGCAGTTGTGCTAATTTAGTGGTATCTTGGATGCGGGCTGCCGTAGTGGTATTTGGTCACTGGTAAACAGTTACACAGTTTTACACGCCATAGAGAGTTTTCTTCCAGACAACAGCACATTTTGGTGTTGCATGAATTCTACGTAGTCTTTGCAAACTTAGGTATGCTTAGACTGGACCGTGTAGATCCTGGTAAATTTCAATAGTGAAATTTATTCATAAAATTATTTGTAGACGCAGGTACACCCAGGTAAATATAAAAGAATGAAAATAGTATATAAACATTATTGTATACCCCAGTAGATCCTGGTGGACTCTGGTAGACCTTGGTAGACCCTAGTAGACCCTGGTAAATTTAAAATAATGAAAATAATATATAAAAATAATTGTAGACCCTAGTAGACCCTGGTAAATTTAAAATAATGAAAATAATATATAAAAATAATTGTAGACCCTAGTAGACTCTGGTAGACCCTGGTAGACCCTGGTAAACCCTGGTAGACCTGGTAGACCTGGTAGACCCTGGAAGACCTTGTTAGACCCTGGTAGGCCCTGGTAAATTTAAAATAATGAAAATAATATATAAGAATAATTGTAGACCGTNAACCTTTATGGCCTTGGGAAATGTCGGAGACACACAAGGAAACCGTTTGGTATCGCATAGTAGGTTATGCCTTGGTCAATGATTAATGATTGGAGTTGGTTCGTTAGCAACACATGATACTCTGTTCAAGTATGCATTTACTATAGTTTCATTGAGCTTGGTATGCTTTATAGATACAGAATTGAATTTGATGCTACGCTGTTGTATGTATACATTTTGAATTACTTTGTAATTCAGTTGCGTCATGAAGTCAATGTGCATGAGTCATTCGAATTATAAGATAAATATTTAGCTTTTATTCACTGTAATTTTATATTTATTTAACGGAATAAAACTTTACTTGAATAAATTCATTGTTTCAGTTTTTCTTTTCTGTCGACTTAATTAAACTCAATGATATATTACGAGGTATCGAAAACCAGTGAAGGATAGATACAGAGAGTTCATGTCTAAAACAATTAGCAGGGAAGAAAGCTTAAGCAAACCAGCAAAGTAATATTAGAGACGATGTGCCCATGATACACGAGGAGGACATCTCTTCTACGTGGAAAAGTGATGCAAAAACCATGACTTTCGATCTAGGATGGGATGAAATGAAGCAAAGCTAGCCATCATTCCTTCTGTCACACTCGACAGCAATTGAGATCCTCGTCGAGCACTTACTCTGATATCATGATTTGAACCCTATGTTATTTTTCTAAATAATCTTTTCTAATATTATCTTTTTGGATCATTAGCAAGTACAGTAATGATCTTGAAAACTGTCATCTTCAGACAACTGTCGAGGTGATAAAGATAAAGCTAAAAGAACTAAAATACTCCATCATAGCTATAAATAGTGCAAATCTGTGAATGAGATAAAAGTTCTAAAAATCTATATCATCTTCAGTTCGGTTTGCGAAAATGCCACTGTTTCTTGGTTAAGTTAATCTAAAAAGTATGATTTTAATATTTTTCAACAAAAAAGTAGTTGTTAGCAATCAAAAAGTTCGAATCAGATCCGCATTCGCATTATTGCTCTAGTTGAGATCACGTAATATTTGTCTAGTACATTTATACCGCCATCTTATCGTTTTTCTCATTGGTCAAAATACGAATTATACTGACAAATAGGAATTTTTCTTGCGCTTTTTTTCTTAGCGGCTTATTTTTTTCTAAATTCTACCTAACATCATTATAGAGAGAGATAGGATTTGCTAAACTGTTAATTCAATTCTTTCTTTTCACTAGATTTTAATGTACTTAGACTTACGTTAAAAGAATTCAAATGTAATCATGTTAGAAGAGACAATAGATTCATTTTATAGTTGAAAAAGTTAATTGGTTTTTCCTCAATTAC